GTCTCTTGGTGGCAACTCTGGTCTTTTCTACATACCCTCTATTGTTGTATATAAGTGCGTCAGATAAAGCGAAATTATTTTAATCGGAGAATAGAATTGCTGACAGACAGAGACGGACAATTGAGTCAAGCACGGTAGTGACTGAAGTAAAGTGCGTGAATCTTTGTGAATTATAGCGTGTGTTTAAGTTAAAGTGACTGTGGAATTTAAGTGTATTGCAAAGTTGAGTTGAGAAAGAATAAACTAGTTTTATTTAAGATAGGACTTGCATCACTGAAGTTTCTCGGAAAGAATTTCTATGGAAAATTAACAAACGAACACAGAGATGTAACACTATATTTTAACAAAAGCATACATAGCCCCACGATCAACAAACTCAGAATTTCTACACAACTATTTAAACATGCCAACATTATGAAACTCATGGATAACTCGCTTCAGTATTATAAGAAATATATTAATTAAAATGAACTGATGGGCAAACTAGAGAGTTACGTAATACATAATGAACCAAGCCCTAAGTATCTATCCCCTCTAAACATCATAAATTAGAATCTTACAGGACAAACAGTGCTAGGCTAACTGAATCCTAGATAGAAACGTAGCTCTATTTTAAAAGGGTTTTGTATGTAAAAATAGGATTATGTGTGTGTGTATATGACTGCTAAACGGAACTGTATTGTGAACACGGATTAATAGTGCGATCATACATAAGTGAAACTAGTGAAAATATACAAGTTAATATTACAGCAGACAATGGACAAAATTTAACATACTGTGAGTAATGCGACATAAACGTAACAAGGGTATTCAATAACAGTGCAAACAAAATAATTCTTGAGACGGAGAAAGAGGTCAACGCTGAACTTGACCCTCCCTGGTACAAAACATGGACCGAATCCCGATGAAGGAGAAAGAAGCGTTCTTCTTCACCTCAGTAGGTTAATAAAACCAAAATCAGGAAGACAATCCAAACAGAAGATCCCGAAATTCAAAATAAAATTCCCTGTTTTTACCGTCATTTGCAGGATCATACAGTTTACCAAGTAGGAAAATATTTCTCAGAGTCAGTTTTTTCGCATGTTTCAAGCTATAAGGATTTATCAACAACAAAATTTGAACATAACTTAAAAATATACAGAATTCAAAATGCTAATCAAGCAATACTTAATAGAGATGGTCCAATATACATAAAAAATGTTTTCGTGAAATACTGGAAATGTAATAGTCATTCTCCATACATATATTGTTACTAGATTATTAATTAACTTTTAGAAAACATTTACATAAAACATTTATCTGTATACTACTAAAACTCTGAGATTGTTTGTTTGCTTGTCTGTAATTAAATACAGCAAAAACGGCGCACCAACGCGCCATGTTTGTAATTAATGAGAATAGAAACAGAATGAAACGAGTTTCGTCAAAATCTGGCCACGGGTTACCGATTTAGCCCCGTTTTTCGGGTCACTTTTTGTACATTCCATTATTATAAAACTTCGTTTTCCACCTGATGAATCACTTTAAAATATCTTTTATATAACAATATATGCACAACAGAAATTAAATGATGAGATGAAAATGTGTTATAACAGTGCTTAGAAAGAACAACAATAAAATAGACCTACAATATTATTGACTATTTGCAAATAGTAACTATGGAGACAAGGTAATAAAATAAAAATCAAGTCGAGAACAACAACAAAATTTTATAAACGAAAATCTCTCGCCGAGCATTGGCTATTATATTATTTCCCTGTCAATGTTCCCATCTTCATTAAAAGGCGTAAGATGACAAAAACAAGATCTTGAAGAATCTATCTATATACTACTAAAATTCTGAGATTGTTTGTTTGCTTATTTTCTCAGTCAAAAAAACCATTCAAACTACCGTTCGCGCTTTTTACGAAACTTTTACTCCCGATCAACAATCAAATATCATTTCTTGAATTATGAATAACATGAATCGATTGAAATATTTAATTAAATTATCTCAAAATAAACCTTCATTTCGGTGCAATGGTTATGAAGAATTCAAGCTAATTTCAATTCTGAATAGTGGGTAACCCAACGGGTCACGGGTTGTCTAGTATGCTTATATGAATATTTTGCACATCACAAAGAACTTTACCGGCAACTGAAAGGTTCCTTTTGTCGTGTTAGATGATATAAGACGCATTTAATATGTTTTTGAAGAAGATAATCATAATGTACTGCTATGTAACATGAAATACTCTTGTTTTTAATAAGGCATGTATAATTGTAATTGTTATAATAGATATACATGAAAGTAATATTTTATAATAGATATACATGAAAGTAATATTTTATAATAGATATACATGAAAGTAATATTTTATAATAGATATACACGAAAGTAATATTTCACTTACTTCCAAACGTTGACCGTTTTGTTCTTTAGCTTGGATGTTCATGCAGAAATACAGATTAATTTATTTTAAAGAGGAATTTAATCTTACATAGAGAACGAAAAATTGCGGATAGAAACTCGGGTTTTGATTTTCATTGTTTGTCAGCTTCAGGATGTATTGTTACTAATACTCGTTTGTCAGCTTCATGGTGTATTGTTACTAATACCTCATCAATAAAATACAGTCATTATTAACCTTCTTTCTCATTTTTGTTCTGCAGACGTATCTCAAACCAACGATTCTGTTAGACACTCAGCTTTTGCTGACATCAACCAAGTCAAGGTTACCCGAATCATCCTGCTGATTTCATCAGTTTTTGTTATACTAAACCTCCCCAGCTATACCAACAGAGTGTACGCATCGATCCTCCTTCTACGAGGGAGTAACTCGTCCCAGGCTCTTTTCATTTTTCACCAATGGTCAATGTTGCTTTTTTACACTAATTTCGCTATCAATTTTCTTCTTTACAATTTCAGCAGTCGGTTGTTTCGTCGTATTATAAAAGACGATTTTTTTAAATTATTTCTGAAAATGAAATCCTTGGTAACAGTTCCCATCGATTTTCTGATGCTGTGTAAACTAGGTCCACGTGAAACCTGATTTTAACTTACATAATATAAGTATAATCCCCATGCCACAGAACAACTTAATCAACATATATTACGAACTAAAATAATTTAACCAGTATGTCCTAAACCACGTTTTAAACATCACAATATCAACCAATTTAAAATCATTTCTTTATAGGAAGTGCATAATTAACTTTTCCGTTTTTAACAATACCAACCAATTTAAAATTATTTTTTTGTAGGAAGTACATAATTAATTTTTCCGTTTTTAACAATACCTAGCAATTGCGCTATAGAAACTCCTTGCACAGTCTTCAATCATTTCAAAATGTTGACAAGACTCGGTTGTACTTTAACCTTCTGCAGTAAAACACTGTTAAAAGTGATTTTTAAGTTACAAATAAGGAAGTCACGTGACAATGATAGGCGATATAAAATCGTGGTCGAACGGCATTTATCAGAACTACATTTTTACATTGTTTGGCATGACAAAGACAATTGTAATGCTAACGAAAATTGGTCGGTTTGGGGAAGGATATGTAATAGTCCTTATGACGGAGCCTTTTGCAATAGAAGCTACGCTACAGGAATATTTTCAAGATTCACAGTCGTCTAAATGAGCACGGTCGGGCGAGGCGACATGGACTCGAACGACATAGAGGGACTCCAAAATTGTTTTGATATAACGCGTACTCAAATTCTGTATAATCTAGCTTATTGTCAAGGTATTTTCTCAAAAATTGTAAAACATGTAGCCATTATAAAACTTCAGAGTACCAAAAATGTATTTTTGAATAAAAGATGTAATGATTCGAAACGAAGGAAGAAAACAAATAAAAAAATTAAATCTTCCGTTTGATATCGTAACATACAAGGACATAGATTTATGTAGCTAGCATATTGCTACGACAGCGGAAGTCACGCGACCCTGGAAGCATACGCGCTGGACTTTCTAGAAGGATCATGACTGTTACTGGCAACTCTAGTCTTTTCTAGGCGCCCTCTATTTAGTATATAAGCCCGGCAAATAAAGCGGAGATATGATTTTGCAGATAGGGAGATATAGAAACAGATAATCGAGTCAAGTCGTAAGTAAAGTATGTGAATCGTTGTGAATTATAGCGTGTGTTTCAGTTAAAGTGACTGTGGAAATTAAGTGTATTGCAAAGTTGTATTGAGAAAGAATAAACTAGTTTTATTTAAGAAAGGACTTGTATCGCTGAAGTTCTTCGGAAATAATTTTACGGGAAATTAACAAACGACCAGAGACATAACAATATATTGTTATATCGAATATTTGTAATAACGTTTCATATAGGTTAGATGCAGTCACGTGACTTCCTTTGCGAACTACTAGTAAAAAATCTCGAGGACATAACTGTATTTTCAATTCTTGCCTGTTACCACAAGACTTTATGATTTTACGTAGCCAACGCAAAAAAACAACGAGGTTATAAATTATTTAAGTTATCACCTAAATACTTAAATTTCCAAGATTGAAATCTCTAAACCCGAAAAGCGCAATGAATTACACAAGACCAACACATAATAACATACATACATACACGCACGCGAGTAACAACTTTTATCGAAAGTTTCGATATTGTTTAAACTTTTTCTACTGTATGTATTTCGTACCACCTCTTTTTTAGAGAAAAGAAAAATTGTTCGACACAAGCTCGTTAATTATGTCCATTTTTTCTAAATATGTTAAATGGACTAAGTGTGAAAATGAATATTCATGTACAGCTGTGTTAAAATAATGATATGTAATTATGTTCTGTAAATGTCAGTGTTTTCAAATGTAATTATTCCATTAATTGTGATACGACCATTGTCGTAAAATATTCTAGCACACTTCTGATATTGTTAAAACTGGGAAATAGTAAAAAAAAAATGTACACATCATTACATGTTTTATTTATCTGGATATTCCAGTCAATATTTGTACACTAGAGGTGTAGCAGTAAGAAGATATAAGGATTTTTGTCTGACTACAACAAAAGATTTATATTATGATATGAATCCTGTAAGTATATATTTACATAACAGCATACTTATAATGATATATATGGTGGACTATATCTCACTGAAACATGAAAGGTTTCTTTTTTCGTTGATAAGATGATGATCAAAACAAAATGTAATATATGTACAACAGTAACTATATCAGTATACTTATAATGATATATATGGTGAACTATATCTCACTGAAACATGAAAGGTTTCTTTTCTCATTGATAAGATGATGATCAAAACAAAATGTAATATATGTACAACAGTAACTATATCAGTATACTTATAATGATATATATTGTGAACTATATCTCACTGAAACATAAAAGGTTTCTTTTCTCATTGATAAGATGATGATCAAAACAAAATGTAATATATGTACAACAGTAACTATACGTAAGTTAATTGTTCCCAATGAATTAAGGTATATATTGAGATAAAAGATTGTACATATATATTTTGCAGTACGTAATTACATATGAACGATTATATACTTTAATCTGTTAAATGTACGTAGTCATGAAGACAGTTCTGTACTGTATCTACGGATCTATTTGACATTAACATAGTAATTGGGCTTATATATATGTACATTCTTCTTAATAGTATTAAGTGTACGGGGTAAAAAATATTGTAACATGTACATATTTTTAATACGTATACATCTTGTAACATGTATACACTGTAACAAGAATACATCGTGAAACATCTTTACACCATTAGTATAACAATAATAAAGTGTGAGAATTAATACAGTATCATTTTGTGTAGATTATATCTGCTGATGATGTTACGTGTAAGATTTGTGGTATACAAATAATCATGTTAAATATATAAGTTTTTTTGTAAAAATGTACAGTAACCATAAAAAGTAGAGTTATAGTAACACTGTGTGTGTGTATCAGCTGATGATATTAGACGTAAGTTTTGTAATACAAATTATTACGTTAGGTGTAAGTTTTGTGGTAAAAATATACAGTAACTATAAAAATTAGAGTTATAGTAACAGTGTGTGTGTATGTATCTAATGATGATATTAGGTGTAAGTTTTGTAGTACAAATTATTACGTTAGGTGTAAGTTTTGCGGTAAAAATATACAGCAAATATATAAAGTAGAGTTATAGTAACTCCGTGTGTGTGCATCTGCTGATGATGTTGGGTGTAAGTTTTCTAATATAACTATACAGTAAATATACTGTAGCTCGTGGAAAGTGGTAGAAGGGGATGTGTTCAGAGTGATGGAGGGCTTAAGAATGTGAGATCGGTTAAAAACTATAGGTGTAAAACACAGACACACAGATAGACAATGACACCAATGGAGTAATAAGATGGGGATCACATAATGTAACGTATAGCTATATCTATATCGGCTGAGGATGTTAGGTGTATGTTTTCTACTAAAAGTAAACATTAAGTATACTGTGGTTCCTGCAATGTGATAGAGGGTCAGAACGAGGCCCTCTTGTGACATTTCTCGAGAGGGTCTTCAGGATTCGTTGTGTAACAGTAACATTTTGTGTGTGGGTTTATATTGACAATACATGTAGCTGGTAATATAGCTATTGTTCACTAGAAGTGTAACGGTAACATTTTATGTGATTTATATCTACCATACATGCACGTTGTAATGTATTTATTGTTCACTGGTAATGTAACAGTAACATTTTATAAGGGTTTATATCTACAATACGTGTACTTCGTAGTATAGCTATTGTTCAATACTTGTGTAAAAATAACATTTTGTAATAGTTTATATTTACAGTACTATAACTATTGTTCAATGGTAGTGTAACAGTAACATTTTTGTGACGGTTTATATCTATAATACATGTTCTTGGTAATATAGCTTTTCTTTAATGGTAGTTTAACAGTAACGTTTTTTGAGGGTTTATATCTACAATACATGTACTTAGTAATGTAGTTACTGTTCAATAGTTGAGTAGAAATGTTATTTTATAGGAGAATACATCTACAGTACATGTACTTGGTAATATAGCTGTAGTTCAATGGTAGTTTAACAGTGATGTTTTGTAAGGGTTTATATTTACAGTACACGTGCTTGATAATATTGCGTATGTTATTCAATCGATAGATACACGATTTGTGCTTTAATTTACAAGGAAATGACGAAAGCGCTTTTGCATTTTAGAAATGGCTATATATATATAGGTATGAAGACTACGAAACAAAAAGACGTTTCCCCATATATAGGTATGAAGACTACGAAACAAAAAGACGTTTCCCCATATATAGGTATGAAGACTAC